TATGAAGCAAAGAGAAAAAAAACCGCCAAAACACACACAGATAAAGTGTATCCTAAAAAATAGTCATAGCAATGTGAAAAATTGTAAAGTATTTATGTGTGTGCAAATCTATCTGACATTTGTTCTCGGAAGATCATTCAATAGGGATAAACCTGAGAAAAAAAAAAACAGTGATGCATGGAAGAGATTATTGCATAGAATATATATATATATATATATCTAACAAATTTAGCCATTAACCGAGAACAAATGTGAAAGAAAAAAGAAAAAAAAAACTTATTTCTTTTTTGTGCCTTTCTTCATTGTTTCCATATTAGCACGTTTACGTTGTTCAAATAAATTGACTTCTTGTTCAAGTATACGCCATTTTTCATCACATTTATCTTTTTGATCTTTATATTGTTTTTTAATATTTGTTAATTGTTCATTTATCTAAAAGAATTAAAGAAAAAAAAACAAAATATTCAAAAAGATTTATTGAAAAAAAACAAAAATTTTTTCTTTCTAACTTGTTTTTCTGTTTCTTTTAATTCAGCTTCTTTATCTTTAACTTTTTGTATAAATGTTTCTTTAAGTTGTTGTTCACGTTGTTCAAGTTCTTGTCGAAGATCATTACGTTTCATATCAAGTGTATCACTAATTGACATTTGTTTACCATCAATATTATCAGCAAGACCAAGTTCAGCAAGACGATTACGTCGAAACATTTCATAATGTTTTGAATGTGTTGTTTCAATTAAATCAAGCATATTTTTTTCAATAAGACTATCACGTAATTTTTTAAAATCACAATGATTTTCATTCTCAACTAAAAAGTAGAAAATATCATAATTATAACATTTTCTATAACACAAGTATATATTTTTAATAAGAATCTATTGATCAAACGAAAAGCGAAATAATTCATCTATATGGATAAAAATGATTGAGACAATGTGCAAACATCATATATGATCGATTCTTATCATATAGATGTTTGACTATCAGATCTATTGTTCCAAAAGGGCGATTAAAACCTTCGTGAGGACGAACATCTATTTTGGGAACACACACACACACATAATACGTGGTACAATAGTCACAAATATTTCGAAAGGACTAATCCGATCTTCAGAGGGGTGTCATTTCCTCGTCCTTCACGCTGGATAAAACACTAACAGCTGAAACGTCTAATTTATCTTGAACAGTACACAGCGAAATTATTCCTCAATGCATCTATGTTGTATCTCAAATTGTTGACTGTATGAAAGATCGATAAAGAGACACAAGTAGAATGCATTGTAACTTGATAAAAAGCCTCTTTTTTTTGTCTGCGATCTTTCAAAGTAATAACCGTCGAATCAACAGGAAATTTCCACACGCGAATGTGTTTTATCCAATGTGAGGACCAAATCCCTTCTCCGAAACAGAAAATCTAGATAAAATACTGTTCAGGATATTAATTCTTGAAATAATATTTTACAAATTTAAATTTTTTCTAACCTTGAACAACACCCCACGGATATTGTCGAGCTCGTACATATTGATTTCCAACTTTAACTGTTTCATTACTTCCAACAATAGCCAATGGAAGAAGATTCTTAAATTGAATAAAAAGAAAAAAAATTAAACATTAAAATAAAATATATTTTTTTTTTACATTTGCTTTAACATTATCCTCTGCTAATGTTTCATCATCAGTTGGAAAACGATAAATTTTAACACCAGCTGTATTAAGTTCATTAAGAATATTTTGTTTAAAACGTTGTAATTCACTTTTAGATATTGTATCAGATTTTGCTATAATTGGTATTATATTAACTTTACTATCTAAATGTTTCATTGTAACTAAATCAAGTGCTTTTAATGAATGACCTGTTGGATTAATAAAATATAAACAAACATGAATACGTGTATCATGATAATTTGATAAATTTCTTTTTATTTTAAGTTCTTCATCTAAATATGATTGAAATTGTGTATCAATAAAATCTCCAATAACTTTAAATGAATCATCTTTATTTATTTGATCACCAAAACCGGCTGTTTCAACGACAGTTAATTTTAAACGAATTTCACGTTCAAATAAATCATAAGTATTTTTACGTAAAAATACACGTGATATATCATGTGTTGATGGTGTTGAATCTAATCGTGTATTAAATAAACTATCAAGTAATGAAGATTTTCCACATGCTGTTTCACCAACACAAAGTATATTAAAAACAAAACCATCTGATATAGCTTTAGCCATAATTTGATTTGGTAAATTATTTATGCCACATTCTTCTTTTAATTCAAATGTACGAATTGATGGAGTCTAAATTTAAATGATAATTAAATAAAATTATATAAATAAAAATCATTAAATTCTGTATACTTGAGGTTTTAACATGGAAGGATCGGAAGGACGAAGTACATCTTTCATTGTTTGTTTTTTGGTATTTATGCTAAAATTTTTACAAAGATTTTGTTTTTGGTATAATAAGTAAGAAAAAATTGGTTAATGATTGATATGAATCCATTGGCATTTCGTAAGAGCAATAAAAAAGAACCAATAGAAAAAAAGAATATGTTATCTCTTTGTATGTTTTATGATTATCATTCGATACCATACGACATCTAGAGTTTAGTCAATATATGATTGAAAATTAATTGTAAAGTTTTGTATCAGACACATTTTTCCAGGACGATTTTAAGCAGGAAGAAAAGCTAAAAATTGAACATCTTTACAACTTGAAAAGTTTCTATTGCTCAATTATTTTGAGCCACATAGACTAAATTCTAACAAAAGAAAAAATACACCAAAATGTAGTACATCAAAAGTTCTATCGATATTAACTTTGAAAAAGTTTTTTAGATCTAATCTTTACTCTTTAATCAAAAGAATATAGAAATTGAAATTTTTGTACAATAGAGTGTCTTGCAAGAATGATAAGTTTAGAAGGATATTAGCTACAATCTTCAGAAACTATGCATGAATTGAATTCTTTGTACCTTTTTTTTCAAATTATATCAGGTCATAGAAATTTAGCAGGAAAAAACAAATTGAAAGATATTTTTTATTATTATTACAAAACAAACAGGTAGTAAGAATGATCGAATGATAAAGTCTCCTTCAGAAAAAACTATATTTTGATATAAAAACCAAGAGTAAATTTAACTTTCAATACATTATTGGAAAGATTACTCTTTACGCTACAAAAATCATCATTAAACATCCACAGACTCAAATTTTATTGAAACTAATAAAAAATAAAATAATATTACGAGAAATTTTACTAATCTTCTAACTGTTCATCGAAAAGATATTGAATTGCTACTAAAAAATAGTAAACAATAGAATAGTTCATCATAGAGATAAATGTATCAAGAACTTGTTCATTCGTTTCTTTATTTGTTTCCATTTTCGTAGAAGTATTTTGGTCTCTGAATGATGTTTGTCGTTGAAAGGATATATGAATAGGTATTGAACGAGGATATAAGATAGCAAGAAAGAAACTTCTATTATTGGATCCTCAATTCTTTGTGCTTGATACTTACGTGAATAGTTTTCTATAGCTAAATATTCTGTGACATAGCTTCGTTTTTTTTTTATTTCAACGGTTCATTTCAAAGAATTTTTTCTAAAATAAACCAATAAATAAGCATTGTCCGTAGGACTAGCGAGAGGTGACTACAACTTGTATATCTTAATGTTACAATCAATAGCAAAATACAATGTTTGGTAATAAATAATAGACTCTACACAACATCAATTCATAGAAAGTCAAAGGTTCAAGTGAATAGAATAGTTGTGTAGTTTTACACCCCCCTTCCTCCCCCCGAGTAACGAATTCATTGGCATGTGAATATAAATAATCGATTAACGACTTTCAAATGAAATTTTTTTAACATTGTATTTTATCTTTCAAATAGTGAAAAAAGATATTTCATAATAAAGAAGAAAGAAATGACACTCTGCATTTAGAATGGATGAGAGTCTCAACAGTGAAATTATCTCTTTCTTGTTTTACATGACTTTTTTGCTACTTCGAAAATAAAATAAAATATTAAAAAATTCCACTCGAAAGCTATTACGCAATTATTTACATTCACATAACAATGAATCAATTGTTCGGAAGGAAATAAAACTATACTACTATTCAATTGTTCTTGAATTCCTGATTTTCTATGAATCGATGTTACTTGAAATCTGTTATTTATTAGTAAAACACTGCATTTTACTATTGATTATAATATCAACGTGTGTGGGTTGTAGCTATTCTTCATTAGTTTTAATGCGTTGTCTCTATCAATGCAGTGAACTACCCATATGCATAATGTATCAAAACGCTCTTCATTCAGAAAGATTTCACACAGTCAACAATGTGGATATGAGTGTTAGTGTCGGTGTATGTGGGGTAGGGATCGGGTTGTGGGCTGTTTTTTGCGAATGGATGTGATTGAAATCAAATGGCACACATACCAACATCCATAGCCACAACCATACACTCATCCAAAGACGCATCCACACCCGCACCCTGCATTTTCATTGCAAACAAACGTGCACTCGGACTGCATGCTCTATCAGTTGGAGCAGAATGAAAAATGAAATCACATTCGCACGAAGACTTCCTCTTATACGGTCCCTTTGTGACTAAATTTTGGTGCTAGAATGTGATCAATTACTAGTAAGAAGGAATACTTATGATTGGTTGGCATCCTATACAGTGAATCGTACGATGCGAGTAATGCAGCACAGTTGCGTTAATCTGCGTCGCCGTAGCTATAGTTTGCGACAGAAATTGGATTACGGTCAATGCGCCGCAGCTACACACATTTATGATGAAAATTTCGCAGTTACGTGTAGCTGCAACGCAGAATCAATTCTGCATGTAACTACGAAGCAGTTATTAAAAAAGAGGCGACATTAGTAGAGAATAAAGAAAAACATGTGCGATATACCTATACGAAGAAAGAATTCAAGCCTTATTTGACTGTAAATAAGACATATTGCGACAAACGGCAACAATTGTAAAATGGCTGCATCATCTCGACGTCTCAAGGGTATTCTATCAGTAACTGTACTGAAAGCTAACAATTTAACCAAAAGTGATTGGTTTGGTGAGAACGATTGCTATGCGGTCCTTTCACTTGAACCTCTTACAAATCAATCGAAAATAAAATTTGGCAAGGAGTCACAACAAACAGAAATATGTCAGAAGACACAAATTCATGATGGTTGTCATCCCATTTTCAACGAAAAATTTCTATTTCCCATAGCACAAGACTTAGAAACATTGTATGTTCAGCTATGGGATTCGGATATTGGTAAAGATGATCTTTTAGCTTATGGGACATTGAATTTTCTGAATAATGATCAAGGTATTCAATTTAATACGAATACGGAGAAAGAATGGCTTTATACTGTAACTATTTCCATGATTAATGATAAACGTGGAGATGGTGGTACGTTAGAACTCGTTCTTCATTTTATTCCGGAGACGGTTGCTGATTTTATCAGCAAAAACTTCAATGCTGCTCAAGCAGAACTGAAGAAAAAATTAACACAGCAAATAGTAGCAAAAATGACCGATGTAGCCTCAGACAAAATCCGAGGATATGTGGGTATTGGTGATTGACATTGCTTCGAATTTTTATAGACCGACATTAATATTTCCTCTCTGCACTCAAATCCCACACACTCACATCGACACCCCACGCTCACACCCTTCAAACCAGAAAATATATAAAACAATTATCTCTTATTGCTATGTTCTTTTTGTTACTAACATTATCTAGTCGATTTCAGTTAGAAACATTGATGGTTTTCATTGATAAGAAATTCTATGGAGAATTAATTAAGTATTATTCAAACGAACAATCTATTATATAATGGAAAAATGGCGAGAGAACTCAGTAAAAAGTAATTAAATAGAGAATATACAAAAGAATCTGCAACATTCCTATTTAAGTTCTTACGGACATATATATTTAGTAAACACCTAGAATCAGGTCAGTGGTCACAAGGAAAAACCTCTACCGGTTGCAACTCTAGCTTTTTGTCGCATTGAATGTTTTAAATTTGTTCTATGTGAATCTTAATGGATATAGGAAAATCACATTCTAAGCAGAGCGTTGTGGTATATCATCATTGTTCACAATATCAATAGATGGTCATAACGGTCCTGTAGAACAGATATTATCATTACCAATGATGGGACAACTAAAAAGATATATTAATGTCATTAAATCTTCATTTGATACAAGAAAAGCAGCAGAGATACGAGAAGAAAATGAAGTCTACACAAGGAACATTGTCTCATTGCATGCTGCTCGTGTTGCTTCTTTGATGTTATCTCATCGAGAAACTAGAATTGTAATTTTTTTTTGTCTCCTCTCACGATAGAGGAAAATGGGATTTGAATAGAATAAACGAAAGGAGGAAATACAGAAAGGAGGAAATCTTTACATCCTAGATGAGTCTTAGAAAATAATACGGACTACCCCTAACTATTACTTGATAATTTTTTTGTGGCTATTACTTGTTACTAGTAATAAGTAATAACATTTATTATTTTTATTCCTTTTCAAAATGATTACTACTAATTACCAGGAATAGGTGATTACGTTATTAGTTATTAGTTATTATCAGTAATAGTAACATGACACCACTAATCAATTTGTAACTCGTCCGAGTCATCTTTGCTCGAAGGTGCTTGTTCTCTATTGTTCTTGCTCAACTTTCTTTCTTATGACGACATACATGGGTATGATATGTGTCTTTTCCCCTCTTTTCATCGTCAGTTGCTTTTGTTGTTTCTCTCCAAATCACTTCTAATCTATATTGCATCATTTCGTTACATCGAATTTCATACATTTAACTTGACTATTCCAATTCACATTCAACACAATCGACTACATATCGGTCGTGGAAAGTCGTATTTATTTATAAAATTATTGACTGAAAGTATGTTTTTTTAGATTGAAATATTTTTCTTTTTAAAGTCTGACACTTTGTGTATTACAACCATTAATAGAAGGAGTCGCTAACGCTCATTACTATCATTTGAAGCGTTTCTTCGATTGAAACAAATCAGTCAGTCATCATACGATACATAAACGAAAAGGTTTGAATGACGTGTTTTTTTTTGTTAGCAAGATAAAAATACTGATTATTTTACAATCATGGCAATGATGAACATTAACCGCAAAAACACTGATCCATTTGACCGTTATAAAATGCCGAGACTTGTGGTCACGGTAATTGAACTAAAGAAAAGAAAAGAAAACAAAAGATATAGAATGGATGGTACATAATCAATAATCACCTTCTGTTTTCCAACCACTAAAACCTCATTTGAAAATCTGATCTTGAGATCGTACGTGATGGGATGCCTTGCTCTGCAGAACGATTGATTTTATTTATCCAGCAAGTTTTTTCTATTAGTGCTAAATTTAAAAGCTAAATATTTAATGCCAGACAATTGTATAACTTTTGATAAACTTTTCAAAGTTTTTGAAGAAATAATAAAAGTACATCCGACAATAGGACCAACTGTTGGTTCGATGAACTTTTCTTCAAAACAACAGTGAAAAGTACATCGTCAAGAGGATTAAATTATCGAAGGCAAGCTGACAGTAGAAAGTAGAATTTCATACTTGGCTAATTAAGTAACTGTTAATCTTTTCAATTTTACGTTAACATGGTAAAACTTCATGGAAAAATGAAAAGTACAGTTTCTTAGAACTAATGAATTCTTTATCAAATAAGCGCAAGAACAATTTTGAAAAATTTTTTTCGAATGCTTTGAAAGAAAAAAAAATCAGAAGTTAGATATTCATTGTAAAGAGCCAACAATATTATATGTTCATGTTATTATTTCTCAGGCGACAAGAGCAGGTCATGCTTTTAAAACAGTTTTGGTAAATGTATCAGCAGTAGCTAAAGCTCTCCATCGTTCACTAGTTTGTAAGTATCGATTTCATTTTTCAATATCAACAGACAAAATAATTCTATTTAAATTTTAAACTATATATTCTTAGATATAACAAAATATTTTGGTTTCGAATTGAGTACATCAGTAGAAATGAATGTAACATTGAATCGATATATTATCAAAGGGGCGTACAATCAAGAAAAATTGCAAGATTTATTAGATGATTTTATAAATAAATTCGTACTATGTCGGTATTGTGGCATTCCTGAAACTGAATTAGTACGTGAAAATTTTAATAATTCATATACGCCCTAAAAAACCTTTAAATTTTCTATACATGAAACCCTATATCAAGTCATTTTCTTTAATAATTCTTTGATAAAAAGATCCAATAATATTTCGATGGATCCATTCCGAGTCTGGTTTAGAGTGTGTTGGAGCGTTTGTTACTAATAGTCCAATGAAATAGATAGGAAATTATGTTAGACAACTGACTGATAGAAAACTAGAGAACCTATGTAAAGACAATGAAAAAAATTCTGATTTTAATCAGATTATTCAAAATTATAATCGTTTTGAATCACAATAACTGTACAACGCCTTTCTCTCGAATTTTATTATTGAAACTTAAATTTTTAAATAGTCTTTTAATTGTTTTAGTTTTGACGAGATTGTAAAATTCGATTACGAGCTACCATTTATTACATCTTAGTGGTTGATTCAAGATACTAATCAAATAATTCTAGTTAAAAATTGACATTGATGGCATCGATTGATCGTCAAATAATAGTTTCTTACATTCCCATAGTACCAAAATATTCGGTTGAGATAAACTAACAGTATCATCGAGTATCATAATAATATCATCTATTTACTTTATATCAGGCATCAATTTTCTTTTTTTCAGAGTCTTCACAAGAAAAATAATAACGAAATTTATCAACGATGCAATGCTTGTGGTAATATAAGTACAATCAAAATGGAATTTCACAAGTTAATGAAGTTTATTATAAGAAATTGGCTTCAAATTGAGGGAAATTCTGATAGTCGTGATTTAGTTGAAAATACTTCAACTGGACAGGAAGGCGGACAAACAAGTGAATCGAATTCAAATATATATAATTTTATCTCTTTCATCTAGAATACTTCCGTGAATAATACCATTGCCGATGATGATGAAGATTGGGATGACGATTTATCATCATCTGTCACTGAATTAGACATTCAAATTAATCATATAGTTCCGTTGGACGATCTCGATAAACAAAAATCATGAAAATTATGAACAGTTTAAGTCATTATTGAAAGTTAGTTCAATATTGAATTCATTGAAATTGAATATTGTTTCTGTTATATGTCTAGAAAAAGAAATTGGCTAATCAATTAAACGATCCTAGTTCAATTCAAGAATTGAAAACTGAAGCTGAACGATTAAAAATAGTAGAAAAAGTTCCATTTTATGTTGCTGAATGTTTATTTACTGATCAAATTGTCAAAGAAATTGAATCATACGAAATGCTACTTTATAGAGTATGTTGTTAATTTATGACATATCGTGGGTTTTTTTTATTAGAATAATTCATCTAATAGTTGTGTACAAAAACTACTAAAGGACAAAAGTCTCTGTTAGATGGACTTGAAGTGATAATCGGTGCAAATCAAGAAATAAGAAAAAAATTATTCAATACAAAAGAAATCTCAAAAATTCTTTACAAACTTTATGAAAAAGACATTGTTACAGAAGACGTTTTCTATCAATGGCATAAACAGGTAGATATAGAATAATGGATTTTTCGTGTTCACTAACATGAATGATTATCATTTAGGAATCGAAAGAATTTGTTGATAAAATAATTGCAACAGAAGTTCGAGAGTATGCCAAAGAATTCATCGAATGGTTACGTACAGCTGAAGAATCCAGTAATGAAGACAACGATAAAATCTCCAATAATCTATAGTCACATGAAAATGATTTTAGACATAAGAGAAAAAATATATTTCATGTGACCATATAACCTAGGTCAACAGTTTACTTATTCGTGTTTGTCCTACTCCATCAATTCCTTATAACATATTCTACTTTTTTTTCGCAATCTTTATACTTCATAGTAGAGTAGAAAAAAAGGTTTCGAGAATAATTTCCATCACAGCACTGGATACAATGAAAATAATATATTTAAAGTTCGTTTTGTACAACATCAATAGATACAACGGATAGATTTTTTAGTTGTTCAAAATGTTTAAATAAATGTATAAATATTTGATTTGATATTTGAGCGATTTTAAATAAGAAACATATTTGATTATAATTAATGATGAGTGATAGTTCGTGATTGAACATTTGTTGTATTTATTTGATTATGAATAGTGTGAATTTGATTTTGATGCCGTCTTTTGACATTAATGCATGGAAACATAAATAAAGTAAAAAGTCGTTCTTTGATTTCTGGCATAAATAAAATAGCAACAAAAGGAAGCATTAATGCTTGAAAATAAGGTAAATAAGCAAAAAATCTTGAAAGTATATTAGCAAGATTTTGAGAACTTTGAAACATTTGTATCAATACAATAATTGAATACGGAACCCAACCAACAACATAAATCATACCTATTGCAATAAGTTGTGCAGCTAATTTTACTGAACGATTCTATTAAAGAACAAATTTATTCTATATAAAAAAAAAACAAAAAAAAAGATTTTAAAATTATTCTTACCCATTGTCGACGTCCATCTGCTGTAATAATTGCTCTTTTCATTCGATAACGTTGTATAAAATGTCGTATAGTAACTATCACATTAACAATTAATGTTGTCATTTCCATACTTATACCATTTCCAACCCAATCAAATAAACCGAGACTTAATTCTAATGAATAACATGGACCACCACATATATATAGATTTACATCATAGATTGGTTGACATTTATATAATACTACAATACCGATATAAAGTAATGGACAATATAAATAGAAAAATATAACTGGTCCATAATGAAAAAGAATCATATGTCGTAAAATAAATTGCTCATGATAGATAAATAAATAACGTTGAATAGATATCCATGTCATTAAAAAAATGCTCAATTGAAAAAGTGAATAATTTAATGTGATCCAAGCTGAACATCTACTTTCGAAATAAATACTTCCTTCATATAAATAAGAAAGTGTAATAGGTAATTCACAACCAAGAATTACAGCATTGACTATAAGAAGAAAACCATAAATTTGAGTTTGTAAATGACGCCATCGAAAATAGCGTAAACTAGAAATATGAATTATTCATTTTTTTTACTATTAAGATTGTGTCAATTAATTAAGAACAAATAAGATGAACTTACATGAAAAGTGTACAAAAAAGTGATGGACCTTGTAAAATAACAAGTATATAAAATTTGATTTTTCGTTCGAGTGGTGATATTATTGAACTATTCATATCATCACTAATATTCCACGATGAATTGCTAGTATTTAATTCCATGACGAAATTTTTATTCTATTAACTGTCAACTCAACTGTTATTATAAAAAGTAGAACAAACAAGTTAGAGAGGTGAAAAAATAATCATATAATTATTATTTTTTTGATGGTAAGTAAGAATCTTAATTTCTAACACAGAAATACTAATGATATTATTATCTATTTCAATAGATTAATTATGTTATTCAAAAAAGTTTGTCAATGCAACCTCATGATGAGTCAAAGTGTGAAATTCACAGACTCTAACTGTTATAAATATATGATATGTTGTTAGAGAGATTAAAATAATTTGTATATAATTAGATGAAAGCGCTGGTTGAAATAAGTATGTCATGAGAGAGTATAGAACTGCGACAAAAAATATATTATTTTTGATTTCAAGCTTTCAACAATTTACTATTGCCACCACCTGGAAATCATTAGAAAAGAACAAAGTTAAGCTATATATATATATATATATATACGTCATTACATACTTATTAAAATAGTTTATTTAAAAAAATAGAAAATAAATGAATAAATAAAAATTACATCTATTTTCATAGGCGCAATACTCATGCTGTGAATTTTTATCATTTGGAAAATGTTTATATTTAGAATTCCTATTCTATCAATTTGTTCGATATATTTAATATTGTTATACTGAAAAAAACGTTTTCTCTATTGGCACCTATGTTGTGAAAATCGTGACAGTTTTCAAAAGCATCGCAACTAATTACAAATTGTCAATTGATCAAACAAATATTCTAAGATACATAAAATTGAGAGTCAAATATAATTTCTACACATTTTTTAATTATAATTATAGGGATTTGAGACCAAGAAAAATCGAACTAAATTTCGCATTCACATTCATTTATTTAAAAAAAAATGCTTTTAATAATATACATAACTTCAGATATGTTTTCAAATGAAATAATTATTCAATTAGAATATTTCTGTTGTAGATTCATTTTAATATGAGTTCTTAAATCTTGGATTAATGCTAAGTTAAAAAATTTTCTTTCTTCTTTAGTAATCCTTTTAATTCTGCTTTTTAATGATGATTTCTATTCCTTTCTCTGATTTAGATATTTAATTTATTAAGGATGACGATTACGTGTGAAGTGACTTCAGAGAAAAACTCAATTTGTACATATTAGCGCTGTTTTTTTTTTGCAATTGTGTTTTTGTTCAACTATGAGGAATCAAATACCACATCAATGCTTTTTTAAAATTTTTATTACATGTTTTATTCATGTAGAATAATATAAGTAATCACAATGTGAATAAAAATATTCTTTAACATAAATTAGTAGTAGAAAATTTTTAATATAACAGTAGAAACCGAAGTTACATGAACGAAACCACTTCTATTATCGATATAATGAAGAATATTAATCGATCATAAAACCGCAATCTATCACAAAAATTGTCAGAATCATCAAAAAATATCGCCGATTTATCGTCAATCTTTCAAAGATTTCGAAGATATGACCAGATACATCTTCAAAAGATAACTTCTTTTCTCCAAGTGATATTATGTATGTACGATAAATTCTGTAGAAAACGGCAAATATCATTTTATTCTTTATTTCATCGGTTCAACCACCATATTAACCTACTATACATATTGATTTAATCGTTCAGTAAGCTTTTGACGAAGAACTTTGGCATATATTATTGAGCTTTGCCTAAACTTAGAATTCAATTGATTGATACTTTTCTATGGCTGTCTCAGCACGGATCACAACAGCTGTTCATTTGATTCAACTTCATGATGACGACTATTTTTATCACCAACAAAATATCGTTGATTGCTATCATTGACAGCTACATAAGATCGTTCATTCCATTCTTGTTCAAGTTGCCAACCATGTTTATAGTTAGAACGATCATGTAAAAATTTATAGCTATCACCAAAACTGCAATAGAGAATTCTTTTCTCTATCAAAGTATATAGAGAAAAAGTTTTTTCAAGCCTTCTATACAAAATTAAGATGTGATCGCCACTAGTTTTGGATTTCTCTAAGTAGTTTTAGTGGAGGCCTTTATAATAAATTTCATCTTTTATTTGTGGGCATTTCTACAAGAGTCTGATTAGCGTGCTTTCTACTATATTTCCAGACATTTGGAGATTGAAAAAGGGTCTCGTTCTTGCTATTCGTTTCAATCGTGCTTTGCTCATCAGCGATAAATTCGTCTTGCTTACATCAAGGATTATCAATGATTGATTAAGTTCGATCATGTTAATAATTGCATCAATACATTCATCACCAAATGGATTTTCGGCGAGAGTTAGTATTTCCAGTTTTGAATTGCTACAGCTGATGGCTGTGGCAAGTAGTTGAACTCCTCGTCCCGTAATTTGATTATAGGAAAGCCACAAACGTGTGACATTGCTATTCCTGCTTGAGAGCATTTGAGCCAAACATCTAGCACCTTCATCGGTGATCGAATTACGACTTAGATTAAGATCAGTTATTATTGTTTTGTTATTGTTAGTCATCAATACTGATTGTGTAAGTGAGCGAACACCATCATCTGTCAGATGATTGAAACCGAAATTGAGAGTTTGCAAATGAGAAAAAGGAATTGAATTTGCAATGACTCGAGCACCTAGTGCCGTGATCCAATTGGACGATAGATCAAGTTGCGTATATCGCTTCTTGAATACTGCTTGTTGAACCACTAATAACATGTCAAGATCGGTCAGATGATGTTGACTTAAGTTAAGAAGTGAACCAGCCTGATATTTAGCAATGAGTGTTTCAAGTTGAACATTTTGATAATTATCTTCTTCAGTGTTGTGTTGTAGTTGAATACCAAAAGACCGTGTGTGGAGTAGCAGGGAAAAGGGAAGTTCTACTTGTTTGAGACGTATAATGTACGTATCGATCATATATTTTTGACGGCCAACTACCTGAAAGTGAGTCGCAGGTAGTAAAACAACTTCATACTCTGTTGGTCGAAATGAATGTCGACTGATGTCCTTGCCTGAATGGCTACGTTATATTTCAAAAATAGTTCTCGGACCTATTTTCCCAAAAAGAGGTTCAGATTTCAGTACATCGATAGAAGATGTACAAGATGAGAAGCCCCACCAAGTGAATGTTTTTCCAAGAGAATAATCTTTTCTCAAGTCACGGTTGATCACACGGTACACACTCGATTTGACAGATGGTAGTTTTGAGAGAGATGTGAATAGAAGTTTGAGATAGAGAAACCAAGATTTGACTGTACTTTGTTTGCGATTTTTGTCAGTTGAACGAAGAGTCGAATTCAAAACAAATGATAGACAATGATCATGAGGTTGCCATTCCATCAAGTAAAGCAAAATCGAAGCAGACTCCTCCAATGTTAATCCGTCTGCTAGCGGCGAAATACTCTGATGCTTCTTAGCAATCGAAGCATAGTCTCGAATGTCCGTACCGAGATGAATTACAAGTGGTTCGACCGCGTCTTCAAGAGAAACGAGTGGCATCGTGATATATCCATGAACCAACGAGGCATGTTTGAATGATTCTTGTTTTATATCTGAAACGCGAAGACTCAAGCTTGTTATCATCGTTGTTATCGATTCATCTGTAGTATGCTCGACGCATAACTTGGACGAAGCCATCAAATATAATAAACTACAATATGCAGAGAGATGATGTTTAACGGAGACTGTTTCATGACGCGACATTTAATACCATATAAAACTGTCGTTTTCTTCTCTTTTTTGCCTGTTTGAATAAGAAAAGAGTGCCTTTATCTTACACTGTGGATTTTGACTCATGGCGATAGAATAACATATTATTAATTTTTCAAGCTTTCTCTTACGAACCGTCTGTACCGTATGCAAAGTGATAAATCCTGTTTATTTTTAATTTTGCTCTTAAATAATTATAATACTCGAAAGTGCTTACATAATAATATAGGACGAAATTAAGATATTAAAACACTGAGCAGTAATATAAATGCAGTGATTTTTGCCACCACCATCAATATCTTTTTATCGAGTATTAACACTCAGTTGGCATAGAGATTAAGAGAGTAAATATAAAAATAGAAAAAGGAACGACGAGGAATAAAAAAGAGAAAAATGAAACGAAAAGCAAAAGGTATAAAAATAAAAGAACGCATAAAAAAAAGAGGTAAAGCAAGAGGAAGAAGAGAAGAGAAGCGAAGACGAAAGCGAAGGAAGATGTATGCATACATTCCAAAGCGAGAAAAAAAACAGAAAAATGAAAAGCAAAGAAAGAAGGGAAGTGTAGAGATATTGGATGTGCTATTCTTGGTATACCATTAGCTTATTTCAATAAATGATATCCATTTTAAGAGAAGCGATTCATAGTTTTCTATTAATCGTTTTACTAGATTACGATGAAAACAGTGGTCAAAGTGATCTTTCTTTCTTTTATGAAATTCATTCCGAATAAAAATACCATTATAAAGAAAAAAGGATGAACGACCAAGGTCCGTTGTGTACATACTTTTTAATCTTCTTTAAATGCAGTATTTAACGTATAGTTTTAATGAATCTTCCTTAGTCATAGTGTATAGATTACGAGCTGAAATAAAGGAACAACGATGCATCAGTCGAAGACCAACACAAAGTTTCTACTTTAATAATTGTTGATGTGATACGAGCAGCAAAAGAAAGAAAGAAAATATAAGGTACCGATAAGTCGAAATTTAAGCAAAATTTCATCCGTCGCTATTTTGACATGGTTGGATAGAACTCGTCGAGTTGCCTGTGGAAATGTTGTTTTCAATACTTTCAGAGGGACTTTTATAAAAAAAAATAAATTCGGAGAGATTATTTTCCCAAAAATAGCCTTAAAGTGATATCATTTTTAAAATATTTCTGGTATATTGCTTTTCTTTTTTTACATTCATTGTTAGCTTTATCGAGAAGGCGATGGACTTTATCCAAGTCTTCCAATGGTATGCAACTTTTTTCTTCTAAGATAAAACAAAAAAGAAAAGCATAAATTGATTTTTCTTATAGTTAAAAAGTCAAATGCTTTATCCAGAATATCCATCTTATTCAAACATTGAAAAACGTATTAAATCATTTACATTTGATTGGGTTTATCTAAGTGGTAGTCGTCTTTCAAATCAAATAATGGCTCAAGCTGGATTTTTCTATATGGGTGGAAGTGATGTTTGTTGTTATTATTGTGGTAATAAATTACAAAATTTTAAACCACGGTATTTGAATAAATTTTGATTTTTTTTCATTCTATGGAAATAATTATGAATTGTTTTTGAAATTTAATCTAGTGATTGTCCATTTGAAGAACATGCAACATTTTTTCCTCTTAGTGATTTTATCCAAAAAGTACGCGGTCGTGATTATGTCAATCGAATTATGTTAGAATGTGAACGAAGTATATTGAATATATATATGAGCGTGGCCAGTCGACATGGTACCCCAACACTTATTTGTTTGTTCAGCTTTAACTACTGCCCATTCCAAAAAAGAAGGCGGGTGGGTATTTTTTGAATA